ATATATATACATATATAATACCAATGGCCGTATTGGTCCATGGTCCACTTGGTATAGTAAATCCGTTGGGCATCTTTCTTGGCCTTCAGACAATAATTCTGATGGCAAAAGAACCAAACGGGACAGGCGGCGGAAAAGAAAAAAAAAACAGTAATAAATGGTAAGTAAAAAGTAATCTTGGAGAGGTAAAACAAGACAGGCATATTTGAAGAAATAATGTACATGTCTGAAAAGGGTGAGAGGATATATCAACTACCTCACACATATACAAAGGCCAAATATAAACAATACCACAGTGTGCAGGTGTGAAGTAATTTGTCATGTGGCCGAATTTAACAAAAGTCCTGCTTGTGTACGCTGGTGTGTAAGTGGGTTTTGACTGTGGTTCCGGGTTTTTAATCCGGTGTCTTCAGTGTAGATTGATCATAATCATTTGTTTACAGTATGAGACCACTATCCAGCCTGACTTTCATCTTACATACTGACACACATAGATAGACAGAGATCTGACAACCCATAATAATATAATAGTTGGAAATAGCTGTAATTACATTTGAGTTTGCAAGGGAGATTAGTGACAGGATGTGACTGTGCTGATAACATGTATAGGAATGTACACATGGAGAAATAAGCAAAAACATTTACAGAGCACATCAGTTTTGTTACTTTTTTCTATTAAAGTTAAAATATTCATTAAAATAGATATAATTTAATTAGACTTTAAAGCATAATGTCCTTTGCTTGGTTACTGTCACACTCTTAGCTTGGTGGTCAAGGCTGGTACCCAGCCCAAAATAACCGCAATTTCCCCAGTCAACCCATTATTCCGGGGACCCTTGTAACACACCGCACCCCTAACCAGGTTTCCTGTCAGCCTTTTGCTAAAAGTTAGCAACTAGAAGACTAATAAAAATATATTTATGCTGTCTAAAAGCAATCGAACAAAAGTAGCAGTTTGGTTTATTTTTAAATTTACATTGATACAGCTGCAATAACCACATCTATTGCTTTTATTACTGCTACTACTTTGACTACTACAAAGCCAAAGTAGCTGCTATCATTGTGCCCATACATTTATAGGTTCTGTTTCACTTTTACTCTCTCCCTTCTATTTCTTAGGATTAGAAAACTGACATTCAAGTTTTTCTGAGCTGCTCTGAAAAAGAAAAGTGATTTCTTAGTTACCTTTGATGTAGCTGATTTTGGCCTCATCCAGCAAGCCAGAGGAAGATGCTCCCATGATGTCTACTTTCTTTCTTTTGAAGGTTGTTAAGAACAGGTGACTGGGGTTATTTAAGGATCTGCGCACAACACACATAGGAAACACATGTCAACTGAATGAGCTGCTCTGATGTGTCAAGAGGCTTTTGCTCAACTCATTTCCTCTGTGCTCTGTGAGTCAGTGTGTGGTGAGGTGGGGCGGGGCCAGCAAAATGTGAGGTGGAATCTGTCACTGCGGCCCCTACCAACTTTAACGTTGTACCCAAGTGTCACAGCCATCCTTGCAAGGCCATCTGCTGGTATGCACAAGAGTGACATGTTTAACATAATACCCTTACCTAACAACATAAGTATTTTTTTATGTGATGCATTTATTGAACAAGTTAGAAAAGATAACAAGCATTTAGTCCCTCATCTTTGGGTTATCTGTGGCAGTTCACGGAGAGATCGTTATTAATCAGTCTATGTTCCTGCCCCCACCTCTGAGCTAGAACTGTGGGTAGTGACCAAAAGAACAAGATGGCAAATGGAAAAATGAACTTATTTAAGTAATAATTATTTGAACCTTTCTCAACTCTGCTGAATCTGTAAAACTTTGAAGTCAACCTTATATACTAAGATGAAAAAAGTACCTTTGTAGCAACCAATGAAAGTCTAGACCCTAACCTTCTACATTTCAAAATATACAGTTTCCAGATAATAGCAAATTTAACTAAATCTCTTAAAGATTTTATTTTGTATTATGTTTATTTAAAGTTCAATTTGGCTTTATTCTTGGACAGTGAAGGAGTAGCTTTTAAAAAATAAACTTCTTCATCTTTTACCGGCTTTGTTGCAGAGTGTCTGAAACAAGCTCCTCTTTTAAATCAAATGGGTGGGGCTTCTATGCTCAGCCAGGGTGGGGCTTCTATGCTCAGCCAGAGCTAGGCTATTCACACTCTGACAAGGAGTAAACACAGGACCAGTTTAATCAATTCCAATACCGTCAACCGTCCAATACCGTTAGATAAATCATCATCAATTTGCAAATTCTAAACACATTTTAATGACCACTGTGATTTTCACAATATTTAGCTAACACAACAAAACATAACTTTCAGCTTTTGGTGTACTTTATAACTGGGTTTTTGTACAGAACACTTAGAGTTTGTTTGCAGTCTTATGAGTTTGTGGCTCATAGGGGTTACTTTTTCAAACACTGACCTAAAATTTTGTCCATACTTAATATGAACATCATTGAACAGCATGTACATGGAAGACAATCACAAAAAGCACAATTCCCTACTACAGCGAAAGTGCCTTTTCATCATGCACATCATTTTCGTGAGTCCAACTCACAACCCTGAAATGGATAAGCGGAAGTGAACGGATGGGTGTATATTTGATGACATTCTAATGGCCATGTGTTTATGAAAGACACAAAGAGTTAGGAATGATACAATAGTTTAACTTGTTTGTATAATTTTTCATATACGATATGACGCATTTTTATATAAATATTAAAATATAATTTGAAAAAAGTCTCTATATTTCTAATAGTTTTTGTTACAATAAGCAGGATCCGTTTTCAGATATTCTGGTTAAACTAAATACCTTGTGGTATATTTCGAGACATTAATAGTAAGAAAATTGTTTGACCTCGGTTTTAATGGGAACCTTATTAAACGTGAACATACCGTGAGGTTTACTGGTAAAGCAAAAACAGTTGTGACATGATAAACCGCCTTTGCAGTGCCCAGTTAGGCTACTTTGATTGGCTGGCAAGCTGCAGTAAGCTGTGTGTAATGTTAAGTGTTCAACCTGGAGCCATTCTGCTCTCTCTCTCTCCCCTCTCCCTCCCCGCCCATCTGTCCCACTCCCACTTCAGGCTCAGGCTCGAGCGCAGTTAGTCCAGTTCTGATTGGGGCCGGTGTTGAGGTCCGTCGGTGCCACCCAGCTCACCGGCGACACGTCACACTGACCCGAGTTAAAGCAACCTTTTTTTAAAAATTATTATTATTATTTTAGCTTTTAATTCGTTTCTTTTACAACAATTATTTTAATACGAGTCTTCATTAAAAAAAAAGACAAGTACACGAGATCTTTCTTTCTTTTTTAAGTTTGAGTACTTTTTTTTTTCAAGCTAAACCGTTTTATGGACTCATTTTTACCCGCTCGCAAGGACAAAAAGCCTACTTTCTAGTGAAGTAATTTACTGCACCGTTTGATGCGTGGGTGTTTATTCATTCGTACTTGCTCCGCAATTTTTGGCTACAACTACCTGATAAAGACTAGTTTGTATACAGAGTGCTTCTTATCCTTAGCTGCTGTGCAGAAATGTGGCGCGGACTTTCACTGCTGATTTTCTGCTGTGCTGTAAGAAGCCTGGCGGTGGACGGAAGCATTCGGGAGAAGATGCTGCTAGCTGAAACCGACGAGCTGAGGCCGATTAAAGATGCCAACTCCACAAGCAAAGCAGAGGGTAGTCACCAGTTCCCGGAGAAAGCCACTCAGGGGAGAGTTCCACAGTTCCAACCCACTGTCGAGCCTCTGGAGGACGAGCTGGAAAACCAAGAGAATATAATAAGCCAGGTTTGTGAACTATAATGTGCGCCTTTTTATGATTAATTGTATTCTATGTTAAACTACACTGACAAAGAAGTTTATGTATGCATACTGCGAATGAGTTGGGAGAACAGAAATTCCTAGTTTTAATAATTAAGGCAGTTATCAAATTTAAAACGTTTTAAAAGTTAAAAGCACAAGATGGTGTGCTGTTTGACCTATTTTTACATTTGACTGAACTGAAGTAAAGTTCTGCAAAGCCATGCTCTTCTATGCAAATTATAAAAACTAAAACTTCAATCCATGACCTGTGACCTGCTTAATTCTTCTTCCAGGAGACTTCAAATGAGTAACAGCAGTTAGTACCTCTGCAAAACTTTCCATCTACCTCATCAAGGGAAAACCACATGAGATCCCACAGCACTTGTGCTGTTAGGACTTACTTTGCTTTAAACAGTGAACCCTGAACCCCTCGTTTTTCATCTTGAGTTGGATTTCAGGGGTTGTTTCTGACACAGCGATTCCAAAAGTTTAACTATACGGGAAATTTCCTTTTACCTCATACTGTCATGGTAAATCAAGCCCAGAGCTGTGTGTGTGTGTGTGTGTGTGTGTGTGTGTGTGTGTGTGTGTGTGTGTGTGTGTGTGTGTGTG